AATTCTTGTTGAGCTTATTGTCCTACATACGATATCAACCTCAACCCATAAATATATAGCAGCACCTATATAGAAACGGCCACGTAAGCAATTGGAAAGCAGGAGCTGTTTCCAACTGCGGAGAATATTAAATGGGCTGTTGTGAATTTTGGTAGATAGACGACGTATAGACTATGAAATAAGACAATATGAGATATAATAGACAAAGTAGATACAAAATAGATATAAAACACTTTCTCTTCTATTTCTTTCGACAGAGTATATACATAGAGAAAAAATTCTCTCTTCTCACGAACATCTATCTGAATGAATTCTGAAATCAGAAATCTCAGCTATTTATAGAAAAGGAAAAGTTACTATGCAGAAACTATGCAGTCCTGTATACACGTTTTTGGGGACGGCTGCTCAATGAACAGCCAGCCGCCCTTCAATAATTCTCAACATGGGCCATATTTTTGGGCCGCTAAATTGAACCTGGTGAAAGTATTTCCTCAGGGCCTGCTAAAAAACAAAAGTTAGTAAAATATAGTACGGATACAAATACTCTTTGATAAATTTTTTCCAAAATGTTCTTCTATAAGAACTCTAGTTAGAGACTCCTCTTTATCCAGCTCCGAAACCTTAGTGTATTATTTTGGAATACTCTAAAAGTTGTTACATGACCCCATATCAAGGATGCATAGCTAAAACTTTGATGTAAAGTTTTATAAATGAAGGGAAAACAATTATGTACAGAGACAATGTCGTACACAAAATGGTTGCTTGTTTGAAAATCTCTACTAAGGATTGAGTGATATTTTCCCAAACCTTTTTTCAATGATAAATATCCTTGGTATATGACCCTATAGAATGATGAAAATAATTGGCATAGTAGCTAATAGAAAGGTCTAATTAATTAAAGTTTTAGAATAATGCATCAGTTGCTTTGACTCAGCGATATCATAAATCGCCTGATCGAGAAGCCTTGCATTGAGATTATAGGTGATTGAACAATTAACATTGGTGTATGGATTAGGATGTTAGATCGAGGATAAACATCCTCATAAGATTGGTGAAGGAGTGAACTTAATCATCAATATATCTATGCGACTATGCCTGGCATAAAATTATGGTTGAGTGCTTTAGAAAAAAAAGCAGTTGATGGCCCTGTCATCAGATCGTCCAAATCTGCTGTTGCCGGGGGGACTCATAGGAACTATCTGGGAAACTGTTTTGATGCTTTCCCTTGCAATTTCGAAGATGTGCTCGATTACTTGCGCAGAACTCAAGGGAGCTGCTGAACTTGAAGGCCTCGACAGAGCTTGGAGAAAAGGTTTCAGAAAGATTGAACTCAATCTGGATTCCATGACGGCGATTAACATTATGAACAATCTGGATTCCATTACTACATCCCGCTCTATTATTAATCAAAAAAAAATTCTATACGATGATGAATAATAGTTTATGCAAAAAAACAAATATATTAAATTTTGTAAAATCACTCATGTAAAGTGATCTTTAAAAAATTGAGGAAGTATAGGTCATAAATGTTGAAGGTCGAATAACTATGTTGCATCTTTAACAATACTAGTAAATACCCGCGCTCGCTTGCGCTTCGTCGTGCTACAAGTTCGGTACAGATAGGAAATTAAGTATGTTCTATATTGCTTTTTTGTCGACAAATATGTCATTACCAATAAACCGATTGAGTGATGTAATCAATTTCCTCGCTTTTATTAACCGCTATTACAATATTCATTCGGACAATTGATTGTTCACTAAACGCAAGAAATACCGTACGTGTTTGAAAGTTACTATAAGTGGGGTTCACTGAACAAATAGTAGCAGTTTTGCACTGCAATGTTTAACCGATGTATAGTCACGCGAAGATACGGCAGTCTTATATTCGGACAATCTAATGGAGAAACTTTTACCAATTTAATCATTAAATCCAATTGCATTCAAATCACTCATTGGATACAACACACTCCATCCTTTTTTCCTTCACCCTCGAGTTAAAGATGAAAGTATAGCGACTTCACATTTTTGTTTACTCCCACCTAATGCTTGAGCTACTGCTTATGCACATCATTGAAAGTCACTGGACTTATACTTGGCTTCAACATCACAGTGAACGTGAATTTCTGCTGGAATGTCATTGGTTATACCCTTTTACTAATAACATGTAGGGGATGAAAACAATTACTCTTGGAAGGTTAATTACCCAAAAAGTCCATGCACAGAAGTAAAGAGGCCCTTGGAATTGTTCAGTAAATTATGAAAGAGCTGCTTCAATAGGTTAAAAGTTCTTTTATATAAGACTTAGATATCATTTGGAATTAACTAAACTCAATGGAACAAAGTGACATAAGTGCTCTTCACGAAGTAATAAAAAAGAATATAGTACGAACTAATTATGATGGAAATGAGTCGAGTGATGTAGCAAGGACAATAAACAGTGGATGTAGGTCCTCAAAAGTAAACCCCAAGTTATGTACAAAAAAACCAAGTTATTCATTAAGCTATGCTATACCCAAAAAAGATCATAACATACCAGGTACAAAGGATTTGTTCAACACATTGCACGACCAAGCTAATCAGCAATTTATTACAAAATTCCAGAGCTGCAAAACAGCAGCAGTAGAGAGCAAATCGTCAAGGAGAAACATCTGGCTGCAAAGGTAAAAGTGATATGGGGGTTAAGCTATGAAAAGTCAAGAGATTTTGACTTGAAAAATGACGATGATCCAAAAGTACACAACTGCCTAGCCAAAGTGCTCTCAATCATGCTACAACTAACTTGGAGTCTCCACAATGTGGTGAATTCAAATAAAATCAATTTGAGATGTTAACAACAACCCATTAAAAATGGCACAGATCACTCCTATAATTTGTTGCATAATGACAAAACAATTTACAGCAACAGCCTTTTAATCACCAGCACAAAAGGGGGGAATCACAATAGGATCGTGCTTAACATCAAGTTGAATGGAAGAATTCGGTTGCATAAGAAAATCATATGAAAGTTCAGTAAGAAGCAGAATACATAAGTTGAGTAGGTCGCAAAAAGAGAGAACCTGCAGGAAAGACATGAGCTACAACAATCCCAAAAATTGCTTCCTCCTTCCACCTTCTTGCATCACGTCTTTTGCACCATTCCCCTTTTCCTCTGGCAGTTGAAATATAAGGACTACACTTCCGCAACACACAAATTTTTGTTTGGAATCCAGTAATGAAAACCGCATATGCAGAAGTTCATTGAGAGGTGTCTCTCATCTGCACCAAGCAACATTGAAACATGAGCATCATGGCCACAATCATGCATTTTCCCGGGCACCTTGCACTTGTGCTCCCATTCAAAGACCTCCTGGAGAAATAAAATGTAAAGGCTGTTCAGTTCTGGCCAAGAGATAAAAACTTCAGCATCATATGAATCCCCACAACCTAAAAAGGGAAAATGATAGATCCGATCCCCTTAAACTTCAATTTAGTACAAAGGACTGAATGAGTATGAGAATCGCTTTCACACTCCACAGGAATACATAGTACTAATTACTTTTATGTGCACTAAATAAATAACGCTTCCAAGAGAGAGTACAAAGGCATAACTCGCCAGCAAAAGCAATGCATCTGGCTTTGATATGAACCTTCAAATCCATCAATACAACATGTTTACTCAACAGGGGAAATATCACTATCGACATTGCAGGTAAACTTGCACATATCCAAACTGTCGAAATGGCATTCAAATGAAACTCAAGCAATTCAATTCTCAATCCTTCAGTATTCATACATCAGTTGAAATGAAAACAAAACAAACCAAGATTTTGAAGCAATATATGTGTTGCCCTAAACTTTGTCACTGATTTTAAAAGACTTCAGAATTCTGGTGTGTTTTGTTAATCCACCTTCCTAGCAAACCCCAAGAGTTAAACTCTCTTATGTGGGAGTAGGATTCCAGTAAGGATTAAACCAACCACACATAGAGAGCTCCCATGAAGACGGCTGGGACCTGACATGAAGTAACAGAAAATCAATTCATCGTTACCGGATATTGGATTTTCTTCTTCATGATTAGCTAAAATGAATGTAACCGATCTAAGGATTCCACGTACATAGAAACAATCAACACATTATTCTTGCAAAGGAGAACATACAACTGCTATAAACACCAGAGGGAGAAATGCCGTTGACAGTGCAAGGATGATACTAAGCTGCATAGACTGAGAAGAAAAGATTACCCTAGGTACTGAAAACTGAATTTTCTTCTTTCTAACCACTAATAAAGCTCATGTCAAGGCCACTCCTCCTTCGATCCATACCCTGCAAAAATCCAACCTTGCTGGTATTGACCCATTCAACCATCTCTGGAGAAAACCAAAACATAAAGGTTATTAAATTCTGGCCAAAGGATCACGTTAAACACCCTATGAAGCCCCAACCTAAAAAGGAAAAGACACAGATCCAATCCCCTTAAACGTCTAATAATTACAAAGGACCAAATCATTATCAGAATCGGTTTACACAACCACGAAAACCAAATTTGAAGGGAAACACAAAGAAATCACTTAATTGAAAACCATGCATTGGTAATCAAAACATTGGCATGTTCATATCATTACAATCACAATTTAAAAATTTTCATCCTAAAAGAAAAGAGCTCGAGCTGGTACTGAAAGTTTTCCAGTTTAAGAATGAAAAAGAGTACTAATGAATCACCCTCCCAATGTAAACAGGGAGTAGAGTTAGACCCTTGAAACTCGTAAAGAAAGCAAGAACCCCTTAAATAGCAATTAGATTGCTCCTTTTTGGGAAATGACCTGACATTAACACCAACACAGCAATAGCAAAGGGAAAGATTGATAAGATTTGGCTAACTAAGGAATAGCAGGAGTAATTTTCCAAACCAGACTAAACCTGAATCGACAAACTTCCAGACACGCTGAATCGAAAAGCTTTTGTGGCACTCCAAGTGTCGATTCTTGCTAGTGTGGCGCAGCCAAAGGGAACTGGGGACTGTATGAAAAAACAACGATTGCAAGGAGAGAGTAGAGGTTCCCAATCAAAGCCCACTCATGAGGCAGAGTACAAGCCCCAGAGATAACAAAAACACAGTGGGATTCATAGGATCTCATGTTCACTGCTCGTCAATTACATGTAGTCAAAAGAAAATTCCTATGAACTACAGTAAAATCATACACTTGCTGGAAAACAGAACTAGAAAAACATGAAAAAACGTAGTATGAAGACCACTTGTGGAGGGAGAGAAGAGTTCCCTCCCTTCCCTGATTGCTAGCTCATCCCATGAATCACTGTAAACAACCGTTTCATCTATTACTCCATAGCCAGAAGCCCCATCAACACCATCAGTTGCCCCACTAGTATTTACAGCAACCCTTACATTCTTACTCCGTCGCTGCACCCCCATCAACCCCAACAGTAGCCTCACTTGTACTTACAGTAGCCCTTACATCTTCATTAACAATAATGGCAGCCCCATCATCACTTCCCGTAGCCACTTCAACAGTATCTGCATTGCCACCATCACCAACAGTAGCCACACTTGTACTTACAGTAGCCCCTACACCTTCATTAACAATAATGGCAGCTCCACTATCACTTCCAGTAGCCACTTCTTCAACATTATCTGCAATGTCAACATCTTGACCAGCATTGTTATTGCTGGTATTGCCTTCAATTGGATCCAAGATATTATCCATCATAGCCTTTGTTGTATTCACGAGATTTACAACCAAAGGATGAAAGGTGTTATAGTCTTCAGCAGCCACATCATTTCCTTGATCAATTTTGGCAACCAGAAACCAGTCAAACAATTGCATGACATCCAGGAGCTCTGAATGGGCCAAATAAGTCTTCACAGTCGCTTGGGCAACAAAGTTCATGATCGACGCACGCTGAGTTGGAGTTAACACAGAAGTCTTCACATCCAAGTCATCAATTTCCTGTTCAACTACAGGCTCCAGATAACCTTCTTGTAAGGCCACCAATTTAGGTCGATTTGCAGCAGCAATACGAGTCAATTGTTGTGGTGTAACTATGTGATCGGCACTTTTCATTTCCACGAGGTTTCGCCACTTGTGCCAAAGGTCCTGGTTAGTGCGTCTGCTGTTGCTAAAATACACATCTCTGATTAATGCCCAAGGTCCAGTACCAAAGCGTTCGACCCCACGGACCAAGTTCTCAACCTCAACAGAAGAAAACGTGTCTTTTCCTGCGCCGCTCAGGATATGGACAAGCTGATAGAGACTTTCGTATCTTCTTCGCAGCCATTTCAGTTTCGCCGTTGAATGTCTCAAACAAATTATAGTAGGCTTCCTTATCTGCATTCACTGCATCAGAGTCTGCAGCAATAGCTCTAACATCCTGCTTCGCAAGCCTGTCAACATACAGTCCAACTGAATACAGTGAATACATGTCCCGAACATGCCTCTTAACATCCATTCGCTCGCGAAAGGTGCCAAATCGCAGCCTTTGACCTTCTGACAGCACAGACAGAACCATAATCTCCTGCCAATTCAATAAATTAACTAATCAAGATCACGGTCTAAACAAATGCTGCAGCCTCTAGCAACTAGTTTCTTCTAATCAAATGAAAGAGGCAGACTGAAACTATAGGCAGAGCAACTAGTTTCTGATAAACAAATGCTACAGGCACTGACCAATATCTTCATTAGAAACTATTTTACTTATAACTAGATCAACAATCAGGCAGGAGATCGCATGAAGGATATACTGAACAAATTAACCGACTATCACAATAGTTGGAAGAAAGCGCCAACAGGCAAAACGAGAATACAAGAACACAATGATCGGCGAATTCTTAACCGGAAAAGCCAATCCCGAACAAAAACAAAACAAGAAACCACGAACACAATGATCGGCGAATATGAAAGTCGAAGGGACCACGAAACGTACCATCGCGAGAAGGCAATTGCGAACACAATGAGCGACGAATTCTCAACTAGCAGGAGTACTGTTCGGATGAATGGCGGTAGAATTGGGCGGGAAAGAGAAACAGAGAGAAAATTAGCGACGGTTTGCTTCCACGGAAAGTAAAGGAAAGAGGTAGAGAAAGGGAAATTCTGGAAACTATTTTCGACCGTGCAACACAAGATATCTCGATTAGTGAGTGACGGAAGAGAAGTTAGGAAAAGAAATGAGCGTTTACCTTGGTATAATAGGTAATAGAAACGGGCCTTCCTTTCCCAAATTTGAGAGCCCAGACTGCCGGCCCAAACCTGTTCTGGCGGCCCAGACCTTGTCTCCACCGATTTTCTTCTGCGCACCGCTGGTACCGTCTCTCCAAAACATGCCGGTAGTACCGCGATGGCTTCGGACCTGTCCATCAGAATTTCTGGCGTTCACCTTCTGGCTGATTTGGAGATTGAGGAATTTAATCGGAGAGGATGATTAATAAGGAGGTTTAACAAAACGATGATTAAATATGGGATTAGCAACACGATTGAGAAAGATGGAGGTTGCGGAAAAACCAGCAGCGGAACAGAGTGAGGAAGAAAAAATCTGCTTTGGATGAACTTATAGCAGACGGGAAGGACAAATCCGTAATTTCGAGCTTAACGAGAATAATATAATATGGAAAAAATTTAAACGAAAGGCCGAAAGTAAAGTGGGTGGGTGGGTGCGGACTGCGGTCTCATCCCGCGATTCCCGCCTTGACCAATCCCGTCTTTTCGTGAAATAGTTAATTTTGTTCCTTATATATAAATATAAAAATAATTCCCCGTTGCTTACGCCGTTTCATCCGACCGTCGATTCAGTCAAACATTTTATTTATTTTTATTAGCCTAGCCTGATTTTCATATACAAATAAATAAATACAAATAAACCGGAAGTTACGCAATCAGGCCAATAATATATTGATATTTTACGGTTTCCTTATCAATTTAACGGTGCCAATGTTCTCTTTATTTAAATTTAAATAATTATCAAAAAAATTAGCTAGTTCTTTACATCCACGTCTGCGGAGCCTGATGTGTCATGTACATACATGTCACTCTATATGTCTCTATCTATATTATCTCTCTTTAATTAGTTTTTCATGCCAATGTTCTCTATAAAAAGTTTTTATCGAAGGTAAAGCCGGAAAGCAAGAATAAAATTGGCGCGTCTATTTCTAACCAAAGAATCCACGTAATACTCTCTCTATTTCTGCTTCAATGCTAAAGAGCTCGTCTATGGGTAGGGGTGATAAATGGTTAGTCGGTTATCGGTTAACCGAACCGATAAAGTCGGTTAGTGGTTAACCGATAACCGCTACTTCCTTATTGATTTCGGTTTCGGTTAGTACTATTTTGGTTAGTGGTTGACCGTTAACCGATTAATTGGTTAGCGGTTAACCGATAAGAAAACCGATAACCGTCTACTAGTGTGACCACATGGTTTTTTACTTTGGCTAAAGGAAAAAGTTGTAAGATTCAAAACCAATCAAAGTCGCAATTCCAAACATCACAATTCTCACCTATTGCAAACAACCCTCCATCAAGAGTCTCAAATGTTTTTAAGAGTTAGAACTCGAAAGTCACCACTCTCTAACTCCCCTTTGCACTCGATAGAGTGAACCTTAGGTTGATGACTATGGGCTAGATGAAGATCTTGGAGTAAATGATGACTATGGGCTAGATGAACTGGAGCGAGATCCTCGGATCATTTAGGTTGACGATTTGGAGATAATTAACGTGTTATTTGTGTCTAGTTGTGATTGTGACTTGTGGTTGAATTGTGGGCATGTAGACTTTATGTTGTGGAGTTGTGGTTGAATTGTGTGGTTGCTTTAGGCTTTATGTTCAATTGATTTAGATGACTTTATGGTGTGATTATAGAGGCTAAAACAAAAGTAGGTCACTCAAAATTGAGGGTGAATCATTAAAGAAAGTGGTTGAAATTCAGTTTTGGGTGGTCGTTTTCTGAACGAAAACCGAGAAAGTGAACCAGAACCTGCGGTTTCGGTTAACCGAAGTCTCTGTCGGTTTCAGTTTCGATTAGCGTTCTTGAGACAATTTTGATTGCGGTTAACCGATATTTCAGTGCGGTTAAACAGTAATAGAGAGACATTAGATAAGACTTAAAGAGAGATGGAAGAAGAGTGAAATTTCTAGTCCTTTTCATATTCCTATAAGTTGATTAAAACAGTAATGTTCTGTAGACAAGACTAGGCGAACTGCGCCTTCGATAAAAAAGACACATAGGATAGGATAGAAGGGTTGTGTTGTGTCAACACTCAACCACCCCCGCTGTAACATCCAACTGTCATGACCCATCGGCTCAGTCGCATTGTTTTTTTTTTTTATAATGATGATATAGATTTTATTATTAGTAAAAGAAGGAGAAGGACAACAACGGCTCGGTCGCATTGTTAAGATGAACAGAACTCACATCCAACTGTCACTCACTATAGATGTGAAATCTATGGGGTCGTTTGGAAGTTACGATAGTTTTGTTGAGATTGTCATTATGTATGTATTGTTTACAATGCATCGTTTTTTTGTTTTTTTAGCAGAAACAATACATGGATTGTTTCTGTGATGTGACAGAAACTATCACTCATTTTGAGTGATTGTTATATCTCAACTTTTCGTTGTGATTGTTGAGATAGTTGAGTTGAGATTGTTTTGTCTCAGCTTTTAGCTGATGCGACATACACAATCACACATACCAAACGTTGTATTCTACAATGCATCAAATTCGACAATACATGTATAATATTATACATGCATTCTCAACAATACATCTATTTAACAATCGCAACTTCCAAACGACCCCTATATGTAATTATCAACCTTCTTCAGTCTTCACTTTAACCAGCGAGTGACAGTGATCCATCGTTGCCTGCATAACTTTTAGGATTGTTTGCTTCATTTATTTAGATACTACATCAAAAATATGGATTTTTTTCAGAAGGGTTAATACCTTAGTTTGGCCCGAACTATACACATACTTTCTACTTTGGCCCGTTTTATTGAATATTGCTACTATGGCCTGAACTATGTAGCAAACTTCCTCATTTGGCCTAGAGGCGGGTTTGACCGTCAAAACAGACGGTCAACCAAGTTGACCGTTAGTCAATTGCCACATCACCTGCCACGTAGACATTAAAAATTATATTTTTTTTTACAAAAAATAAAAAATAAATTGATAACTCTAAAAAAAAAGGAACGAAAAATAAAAGAAAAAAAAAACCACAGCCACCCATCCCTATCTTCCACGCAGATCTTGACCGTCGGTTGGAGATCCTCCGGCGAAATACTCTCGATTATCTCCGTCGAGAAGCTCTCCCTCTGCAGAAACCCGAAGCACGGCTCCGGCTGCAATTCCTCCTCCCCTCCTCGTCTGGGAGAAGGCAAGCACGCCAATCGCTGCAATTCCCCGGATATATCGCTGCTACACCCGGAGAAATCACTGAATGCCTGCGAGATATCCAAAAACTCCTCCGCCGCCGCCGCGGAGGAGGTCAAATTCGCCGCCGACGATTTCTCTGACTTGTCGGAGCAGTTGAGGAAGTTCCTGCGGCGAGCTCCCCGAGGCGCATGTCCACAACAGAGTCGGTCAAGTTCTCGGACACAAACCCGTGGTCAGGCGAGGCGGCGGCGGAAGCGAAGGAGGAACAGCTGTCCTCTCCGGTGTAAAGAGTGGAGCGGATCGTGCGCATGGAGCGGCCGATTTGGCGGTTGATCTTGGTGGTGGAGGCGGAAGGAGAGAGCAGGGGAGAGTAGAAATCCGTGCGAGGGAGAGGGAATCGGCCGGAGCTGGAGAGGTGATGGTGGTGGTGGGAGAGGGAATCATCGAAAGACACCATTTTTATTGCTTGGAGTGGTAAAGGAAGGATGAATCGGAAATGGGTAGTGTTTGGTTTCCGGAAAAATCTACTCTCTCATGGTTGCAGAGACAGAGAGTGGCTGGAGAGGAAGAAAGAGGGAAAGGGAAAGTGAAGATGAGAGATTTATAAATAAATAAAAAAGGGCTGTGGCTGTGGGTTTTTTTTCTTTTTTTTGTAGAGTTATTAATTTATTTTTTATTTTTTGTAAAAAAAAATATAATTTTTAATGTCTACGTGGCAGGTGATGTGGCAATTGACTAACGGTCAACTTGGTTGACCGTCTGTTTTGACGGTCAAACCCGCCTCCAGGCCAAATGAGGAAGTTTGCTACATAGTTCAGGCCATAGTAGCAATATTCAATAAAACGGGACAAAGTAGAAAGTATGTGTATAGTTCGGGCCAAACTAAGGTATTAACCCTTTTCAGAAATACTCAAATACCACTAAAATTCAAAAAAAAATCATCAATTTCCGAAAAATTCCAAAAAAGTTTCCACTTAGGTTAGGTTTGATCGGGAAAAATAATTTGGGACAAACCGCTGGGTGGGGCAGCGGTTTTGTACCAAACCGCCCCTACCAGCTGCGATCAACAAACTGTCTTCAACCCAAGCGGTTTTGGTCGAAAACCACGCTCCCACCCAGCAGTTTTCGAGAAAGGGTGATACTTTTGAAATTTTTCAAAAATGGGTTGTAATTTTGGAATTTTTTTCTTTTTAGTGGTATTTCTGGAAAAAAAATCCAATACGACAAAATTTTGGAGGCAAATGTAATATAAGCTTTTAAATATATTTTAAACTTAATATACTTGCAAAGCCATAACTTTGCACTTTGTAGCAATAATAGTCAAATTTTGAAAAATGCACAGATATAGTCATTTCGTCAATGAATTTAACAGCAACATCATAAACACTGACTATACTAACGGTGTTGGTGACGTGGGTGACTTTTCGTCCACGTGGGAAATGTTCTCCTTTTTTTTTGCAATTAAAAGAAAAAACAAAAATTGATAAAGAAAATAAAAAGAAAGATGAGAATCACGCAGCAACGCTGCCGCTGTCAATCCCCTCGCCGCATCCTACATCTCCACCATCGCTGACCAGAATCATAGCCAACCCACTATCTGCAGGAGGTACTGTGATCGAATTCGTTCATCTTCTTCTAGAACTGTATATATTCTCCATCTTTTGTGAACCCAGAATCTACTATCAGGCGCGTTGAGAGTGAGAGCCGTTGGACGCGACGAACTTTGAAGTCCATCATTTGTTACCAAATTACCTCTTTTATTGGATTTCTCTTCTTTTATAAATGAGGACAATAATGGCCAATTTCCATTCAAACATGCAAATCTGATTAACCAAATCCACTATGAAAGCTATAAAACAAACGATGATATTTTTCAAGTTAATAATGAACCCAAAACCCTCATATACCCATGTATTTACGAAATCCAAATTTTACCAAAACTTTCATTTTCCAAATTTAAAAACAAAGGAACCGTTTTGGTATAATTTGTTACGGCAAACTTTTTTTTTTTAACAAAAGATAATCTTATATTGATATAAGCAAACGATAGTTACATCCTGGACTCAAGCCAGGTATGAAAATCAAAACTCCAACTCATAGTCGGGTACAATGAAAGGGCCTTTCTAGC